CCAAATTTGTTCTTCGTCATGGTTACAAACTGTTTTAATTTGGAGATAGCTTCATCTTTTGTAGCTAGCAGATAGATCGTTGTGTATCTCGAACGATCGTCGATGAATGTTATGAAGTATTTCTTTCCTCCTAGTGATGTCGTACCGATTGGTCCACAGATATCTGAATGTATCAAGTCTAGAACTGATTTTGCTCTATAGTTGTTTAGCTTGGGATACGGCAATTCAGTCATTTTGCCTCTGATACAGCATTCGCATTCTTTTTCCTTTTTGGCTTCTCCGTCAATCCTTATTCCGGTTGCCAGGTCATCATTCTTTAGCCTCTCGATTGCTTCATAATTTCTGTGTCCTAGCCTTCTATGCCAAAGATCTATACTATTTTCTCTTCTTTCTGCAGTTGCAATTTTGGCTGTTTTTCTTTGCGATTCAACTACGGTGTATAAATTTCCTTCTGCTTTAGCAATTTCTATGGTTTTATTTTTCTTCTTTATTCTGCAAATATCTTCTTCAAATTCAACTGTAAATCCTTTCTTTGTAATTTTTCTTACGGATATCAATCCTCCTTCTAGGTCAGGAACGTACAGAACATCTACGAGTCTCACTTCTATTTCGTTATCTTCGTCGTCTGTACAGTATAAGTATCCTTCTCCTATACCTTCGGACTTCATCTGCGTGCCGTTAGCAATTGTTATCTGCTCAGTTTTGCTTCTATCCAATTTGGTGAAAAAGTTTATGTTATCGGTCATATAACAAGTAGCACCTGAGTCAACTGACCAGTTTGAGTTTTGAAATTTTCTTTCTCTGGTGACTTCGAACGTGTAATTCTCAGTCTTCTCATGATTCTTATCTTCATTTTCATCTTCATGTGTATTCTCCTTTACAGTAACTTTCGTTTTCTGTTTATTTCCATAGTTTCCTTTATTCGTTTGCTTTTCATTCTTGAAAAATGAGTTACTTTCACTTTTATCTTTTTCTTTGTGGTTATTTAAAAATCTGCATTCTTTTTCTAAGTGTCCTAATTTTTTGCAATAATTGCATCTTCGTTGATTGAAATGCTTGAATATTGTGTTAAAATTCGTTTTGAAGGCAGTTGTTTCTTCTGTTCGCGTGCCTTCTTTTCTTCTCAGGCATTCGTTGATGAGTTTCATTTTTACGTATTCCAGCGTTAGTTCTTCTTCTGGGTGTGCTTCTAAAGCTGTAATAAGATTTTTGTAGCTTTTGGTAAGCCACTTAGTAAGAGCGCTGCAATGTGACTGTCCTTTATTTCTTCACCGATTCCTCGCAGTTCGTCTACGATTTCGAGCATCTTGTTGACATGTTCTTCGAGTTTGTATTCGTTTTCTGCTTTTGACGTATGCAGCTTTCTCAAAAGGTAAAGTTTACTGGAAAAATTCTTTCTTTCATGTATTTTCTTTAATTCGTTCCATATTTCTTTGGCTGTCGTTTTATTTCTTATGTGTATGATTTGGTTGTCTTCTACGAGTAAACTAATGGTAGCTTGTGCTTGTTCATCTCGTTTTCTCCATTCGACGTTTATTTCTTTTGGTGTATCATCTGCTATTAAATCCATACTTGCCAACCTATGACACTCAAAAATCAGGAGATTTTTTTAAGAAATCAGGAGATTTTTCACAATGTTAAAAAGACTTTTTAAATGATAAAAATATAGTTTTTAATAATGAATTAACTTTAAATAGTTACTAAGTCTTAAATGCAAGCAAAACAAAAATACCTTAGGCATAAAAAACATTTTTTTATTACTTTCATCGTTAAAAAAAAATATAAAATAAAAAAAAATAATAATAATAATAATAATAATAAAAAAAGCACTTTAATCAGTTTTCATACAAATGTTATGGACAGTGGCAGATTTTGCTCTCGTTAAGAAAGAAACTTCATAATTTTGTTCATAGCAATTGCCACGTAGGCCTGCTTTCGCTAATAAAAGTTTTTCTAATGCATCATCACTAATATTAGATCTAAATTTAGTCCTCGTTTTCGCAACAACACTGAAAATCCTCTCGCACTCTGCATTACTATGGGGAACTGTCAAGATGGCCAACATAATTCTAGAGAGTTCATTATATTTTAAAATTCCATCAGCACCTTTCAATTTTCCAATTAACCTCCACTGGGTGTCAATCCTAGCTGATTTTATAACTTCATCCAAGTTTTCTAATTGTAAACTGCGAAATTACTACTGCAATTTTTCAGTTATAACATCATCTTTCATGACTAAATGAAGTAAGACTGGAAATATATTCGAGAAATATCTTATATCATAAAAAGATGCACTTACTAGAGCAGAAACATCTGTAACGTTAGCATGCAAAATCATTTAATCGTTGATTGGAAATTTATGAAGTATGCAATCACGTACTCGGCAGAAGTAACTTCTAAAATAGATATAAAACTTACTTTTGTCTTAATCAGAAAGGTCTTTAACAATTGCACCTGTTTTGGTCCTTGCACTTGAGTATTTCTTAGCGATTTCACTATCGGGAAACATTTTTCTAAATAAAGCTGCAGCGTGATCCGATGCATTCAGTGACAGGTTGTGCTCCAGTAAAAAGGCAGAGAACAGACATTCTGGATTAATCACTTTTTGGTCTTTTGTTTCCGAAGAAAAATTTAATTTTTCGTTTTTTCAAAACAACTCATGTTGTCCTTGTGTTTTTGTGTACGCACATGTTTGAGAACATCTGCCCTTCCACCAAGCGAAATCGAAAAATCGCAATGACAGATGGTACACCTCGCAAATTTATTACATTTCCTTGAAGAAATAATGGAAGGAAAGTCAACTGTGTACGATTTTTGAAACGTGCACGAGTATTTCACCTTTCTCGCAGACAAATCAAAAGACGATAATTTCTAAAACTATTTCCTAAAGGCGCGTGTACTCACGCAACTCAGGACAAGATGAACGAAATAGCGAAAGAACATCCAAAGAACGGCCAATGGCCTTGAGCTTGCTTTGTGCTCATTGGCTAATATATGCCAGATGACACGCAGTGGAACTCGATGCCCATTGGACAACCGGAGAACGAAGTTTCTGGATACGTATGCTGTCGATCACAAAGCAGAAATTCTCATCTGATTCGCAAGGTTTCATTTTAGATATAATCTAGAGAAAAATCACTTTTTTTTTGTTCATATAACGAAGTGTTAAGCCAAGTTCCATAAAAATCGTGAGAAATATTAAGAATAAGAAAAAGTCGGGAGAAATATATTGTAAATCGGGTTAGCAGGAGAGCAGTCGAAAATCGGGAGTCTCCCGCCTAAATCGGGAGAGTTGGCAACTCTGTAAATCCCATAAATTTTCCTTTTTTCAGGATCATTTCAAGTTTGTATTTCCATACTTGATAGTTGTTATTGTTTAGTTTCATGATTTAATATTTATTTTCGCAGCTAGTAGCCATTTCTGCTTCTACATTTCGAATGCGCAGTACACAACTATACAGTTTTGTTTCGTTTTTGAAGGCAGGCTTGGCTATTTCCTTTTTCGGATTATCCAGCGGTAATTTATGGTAAAGTAGCTTTTCTGTTTTTTATTCTTGATAGCTTATCTCGATACATTTTATGCGTTTAGTTGCAGTAAACATACTCTTGGTCTCATAATCTATTGTTGAAGGTATTTGTGGTTCATTTTTGTTTACTGTTACAACTTCGCTAAATCGAGACGAGCAGATGAATAAAACAGAATTAAAGTTCTTACCTTAATAAAGTGTAATCCAAGCTGCCGATGTAAGGAACACAATCATTATATTAGCAAACACAAAATAGCATATTTATTAGGTATTAGAAGAATAAAAAAATATCTAGATGATTATAAGCGTTGTTTACTGTCCATTGCATAATGCGAGAAATGAGTCATACAAGGAGAGAATGTTTCTCCTTCTTTTTGGATCACTCCAATCACAGTTAGTGGGGGTGAGGGGGAAATTAATGTTGGAATGTACAGCTTGGTCGCTGTCATTATGAATTGCTCCACAGAGGTTGCAAACAGGGCATTTGCTTTCTGATGTTTCATGCCATATACACAAACGTCCATCTGTCCAAGCATAAAAAGCGATTCATTTGAAAAAGCCACCTGTCGCCACTCAGTGAACGTTCAGTTGTGATACTAGTGTGCAAATTCCTGCCTTCGTCGCCAATGTCATACTATTTCACATAGATTTTTATTTCTGCTATAAAATTCCAAATGTAAACTTACATTGATATGTTTAACAAAGAAAATTAAAAAGAATATTTTTTTCATACAAGAAAAAAGTTATGTTGATTGTTCTTTGCTTGTTTGATAATGAACATTAGATCTCTATTCCATGACACAACATTGTTACCCAAGATAAAGTGTTATTATTATTATTGATAATCAAATATGTTTATTTGAAGAACAATTTTCAAAGTGCAATAATTTTCGAGGAATAATTAATTATTATTTAATTTATCTTTAACTATTACTTTTATATTTACATGTTGTATTTTAATTTAATAATATATTTTTACAAAATAAGTTTATATACTGCTTTTAGGCAGTTGTGTCAATACACAGACTAAATAAAAACACAGAATTACTATAGAGACCATAAAATTAGGCAAAGCAACAACTTTCTGTTTGGTGTATATTTTAAATAGCAGTCTTATCGATTTTGAAGGCAACAGTTGCAGGTCCCTCAATATCATCAGGAAAAAAGGGGAGAAATGCTATTCTCCTGATGATGAAGGACCTGCATTTCTTGTCCTTGAAATCAATAGAATCTTCATTAAAATATATGCCAAATAGAAAATTGCTGCCTTATTTTATGTTTTACTTTAATGTGTTTCTCTTCTCTCTTTATACAAACCATATATAAGATAAATGTAATGAATATTAACTATTACTTTAAAATCAACTACTAAAGTTTTACTATAAAATCAACTACAACATTTGATCATGGATTATATACACGTAAAAGTTAAAAATAAAATTCATATATATATATATATATAACAGAAGTTACCTTTGCCTTGATTCTTCAAGAACGTTTTGTGGAGTTTTAAGTGGGTGTTTCACGCTTTGGCAAACTCAGTTTACTAGCATCTTTTTTTCTACAAATAAATATTAATAAAAATAATGAAATTTATTGTGCTAATTTAGTATTTAAAAAAATACAGTACATGGAAAGTAAAAAAAAAAATATGATAACTTGAACTGCAACAACATGATCAAAATTTATACACACAGCTAATTTTTTTCTTAAGAATTTTTACCTGCTATTAAAAGTAATTATATTTACACAATAATTTTTACAGGTACTGTTTAACTGATTAGCATTAAATACTTAGAGCTCAGATGTTTCAATTTTGACACATTTTAAGAATTCAAAAAATTGTTATGTTAGCATGTTGAATATCACTATTTATGGTTCTTTATGATCCCTTGTATTTCCTAAATGAGGTTCTGTGAAATAAAATTAAATATTCTGGGGGAAAAAAAAAAGGACAGACCTTTTTGCACATTATAAGTTAAAATCATTTGCAGTTGCTTTTTATATTTGGCTGACTGGATAACATTTCTGTCAGTCTGCATTTATTGCACAGCTTATGCACTGAGTTACTGTACTACTTTCCTCAATATTACAAAATGGAATACATATATATGGCAGTGACTGCAAATGGCTTTATCAATAAGATAATTTCAAGATATGCCCCACAGCAGCAATTTTCAAAGAAGAAAACTTGTTCTCTGTTCTCTGGTCACTGTTTGGAGAACTGATTCTTATGCACAACATTTTAATTGAAGATCCAAAAGACTGCTTCTAATCATCAAGTTGCTCTGAATTCAGTTAATCAAAAGAAAAGAAAGGATCATGAAACATCTTGACAGTGTACGTGCATGAGCAGTTATAAATTTCTATTTGAAATCCAACTCATTTTTACGACTAAAGATCTAACTTCATATAAAAAGTTTTCTAAAGAGCTTTGTTAATCTTTTTGACATTTTTAGCAATACTTGCATTCCAATTACTTAATAAGAGAAAAAAGATAACTGTTACAATTAAACTTTAAATTTTAATTTATTAACACATAAATTCACTATAATTTTGAAATACTACGTTGAAAAATGTAATATCATAATTACCATACACTTAAGAATAAAAAGGCATCATTTTTTCTTCTAAATGCTCAGTCTACATGGCCACTACCATTATTTCTGAAATTTGAAAAACAATGAAATATGCACTTGTCTTTCCTATGGAATGTTAAGTTATTGAATACAGCAAAACATACAAGGGCCTGCCTAAGGGGAAGAATGCCTTCATGTAGGACTTTCTAAGGAAAACTAGCTCATATTCATGTTACACATTAAGAAAACCAGCCCATTCAAACTACCAGCACTCAGAATCTTAGCCACTCAGCCACTAGTTGCACTCTCCCTACATCACAGAATGATGTACTATTTAACTACAGGTATTTTATCTACAGGTTATATAACTTCAGGTTAACTAACTAAAGGTTATATAACTTCATACCCAATGTTCTAAATGGTATTTGATATTTATATATCAGATGCAATAAGCCTAAGTATGATGAAACTTGAAGGATGATGAAACATCATGAAACAACTGCCTCATCCTACAAAAGTATAATATGGAAAATATGCATAACAGGTATTACCACACAGATTACCAATAAATATTCTTGAACACGCTGCAGTCTATTGTGATATGGAATGTCAAAAGATGGGCTGCTATGTTTAGACACAGCAGAAAAGATGATTCCTGATAAAACTGCAGTATGGATGTGACCACTGAAGAAATTAGAACTAAAATTAAGGAATATGTGATGGGACATAGATGAATGAGAGATTTTCAGATTGCTATGTTGCTATGCAAATAGATATTAGTACAGGATCAGTGGATCTCATATGATGAGGATGTCAAATTTTTGCATTAGATGGGTATCCAGAATGCTGATGCTAGAAATAAAGAAACAAAGGGGTGATTGTTCTCAAGAAATAGGTTCATAATTAAGGATGATAAAAATTTTTATTCATGGCCAGTGAAAGAAGATGAAACATGGCTTAACCTACATATAAGAGAGCATGGTGTGAAAACACAGCTGATCTCCTGGATCTCACAAACTAAGAAATCTGCAAGGCATATTTTGAGCATCAGTCTTTAAAGTGAAGACAAGACTACTGCTTATTTGATCATATACCAACCTGCTGATAATATATATTGATATAACCTGCTGACTTAACTCCGATAAGCCATAAATGCAAAACACTGTAGAAAAATGCTGTTATGTGCTGTTTGTATCATGTTTCAGCACACAGGGCTCAGATATCTCAGAATTGACTTGCTATTCAACAATGCAGATTTCAGTTTTGCTCTGTCTACCAAATGCCGTAGGCTCCAAACTTATTTAATGCCCTCATAATATACAGATTAAAGCTATTTCAGACATAAAAACAGTCTGTGAATTTGTCAGTTGTAGCAGCCTTGGCAAGAAATGGGAAATGGCAAACTTTATCCTTACAAGAAACACACAATTACTAATCTATGCATGTGAACATAATTTACTTTCTTTTCTTCTTGTGTTTCTTACATAGGTATTTTATATTTTCCAACTACTCAATATTTTCTGGGTTTTCATTGCAAATATCCAATATACTTATTATTTTCAGTCTTTGTTTGTAAAAGATGAAGAATATGTACACAATTTCAATACGCAGTGGAAAGTTAAAATGTACATACACTTCAGAGCCTAAAATTTAAATTCAATTGTTTTTTATAAATTTTCATCCTGATCTTTATTTTAATTTTTTATTTAGAAAGATTCATGAAACCGATGCTTATGTTATTTCAACATACAAATTGTTATATGAATCATGCATCTTATACTTCACACCCAATAGATCAAAATTTCAAAATTGCATAGCATAAAAGTGTTGGGTTCCTCAAAGAAATTTGCTGTGTAGCCTTTTAGAGAGTAAAATACAAACTACTTACAAAGGTTGGAGAAAAATACAGAACCACATTATAAAATGCATATTTGAACTGAAACGTTTATTCTTGCAAAAGTTGTTGGTAGCACTGATGTGTTTACTCACTAATGCCACCTGTACAACAGTGCTCCGCAACCTTTTCTCACCTGCGACGCACAAAAAAATCTTTCTGGAATTTCATAGCACACCAAAGAGTTCCGAGTTATCAAGGAAGTGCCAAAAAAATTCAAATGCTGACACACTTACAATCACACACACAACCACACAACAGTGAAATATATAAAAACATTTAAAATAGACATTATTAAGGAAAAAAATTGTCATTGAGTATTAAATACATGATAAAAAATTGCAAAATGTCAAATACATGTATTTGATTGCTGCACACCTATATCCTACTCATAGCACACCAGTGTGCCGCGGCACACCGGTTGCAGAGCACTACTGTACAACATCGTCAATACACTGCAAGTGTCAATCATTATTGATACAGTGTTCTGTGCAGTTTCGTATTGGAGCTAAATGAATTCGAACATGGGCAAATTGTTGGAACTTGTATGGTGGGTGCTTTCTTAACCAAGGTATCTAACGTGTTTGGTGTTTCAAGAGGCACTGTATCTAAGATTTTAAACTCATACGAGAAAATCGGAAAAACCACATCCGAAATTACAGCATGGACAAAAATGTGTGTTGAGTGATCTTGACGACGATCATTGAAGAGGACTGTGATGAAAAAAAAAAAGAACTACAGCTACAAAAGTGACTGATGAATGGAATATTGAAATTTGCAAACCCTGTCAGCACCAAAACCATATGAAAGGAACTCCACAAGCATGTATTTTTTGGGTCAGCAGCAAAAGCCACTCATCAGTGATCAAAATGCCTGTAAGAGAACAAAGTGGTGTCAAAGTCATAAAGCCTGGACTGAAAAAACAATGTAAGACTGTCTTTTGGTCAGATGAGTCTTGTTTCACACTGTTTCAAAATTCTGGGCAAGTTTACATTTGGCAAACACCATCTCAAACATATGATAGAACTAGAGGACTATTTCTTGCCGAGTGTTAAACATGGCAGGTTTTGGTCCTAGTCTGAGTAGCCATACCGTGGTATTCCATGGGATCTATCATTACTGTGCACGGTCACATGACTGCCAAGGATGATGTGACCATTTTGGCTGATCACATCCATCCCATGGTACAAATTTTGTTCCCTAATGGTGCCGTATTCCAAGATGCCAGACCTCCTGTTCACTCAGTTCACATCATCCACGTCTGGTTTTCTGAGCATGAGGTTGAAGTTTTCCATCTACCATGGCCACCACAATCACCAGATATCAATATTATTGAGCCTTTGTGAACTATTCTGGAAAGAAACCTGTGTGAGTGCTATCCACCGCCATCATTGTTAACTGAACTTGCCAAGGTTTTACAGTAGGAATGGTACAAGATTCCTTTGCAAAGTGCACATGACCTGTACTTATCCATTCCGAGAAGACTGCAAGCTGTTTTGAATGCCAACGGTTTTCCTACACATATTCACAACAATATGATTTTACTTTGGTGTTTCCATAATTTTGTCTAACCCCCGTATCTTTCATTTAATAGCAGTATTTATTAATTTGAGGTTTTTTCAGCTTCTTGAATGGCCAGCTTTCAGTCCAGCACCCATTCGATTCGACAAGTTGCATGTGCTAGATGGGAGATTAACCACCAGGTAACTCCAAGAAAAAATGACTTATAGTAATCAACTGTATGCTGGAAAAGAAATAATCTTGTGGTTACCTGAAAGTTGCATTTCAGTACGTTCCTATGTGCTGTGTATATTCTATATGTTGCACATTTTATGTTACATGGTCTATATCTCTATATTTGCACATGTTGTGTGCTTTGTGTATTATTGCATGTATATGTCGTAGTATAATTTTTTACCTAAAATAAGTGACTAATAAAACTGTATTAAATAAGAAATGCAAATTTATATTAAATTGTTTTTGAAAAATATCATAAATAAATACATACTGTAAATATTGAATGAAATGGTTGTATGTGGTATATATGTAACTGTGTGTTTTGCTCCAAGATTAAAACAGTTCTAGAACTGATAAGTATCAAAATCTGCTTTACAGTATAGCAGGATGTAGCAGATCTGATATACAATATAGACTACACTATACTGATACAAAAGAAAAGACTGATGTTACACAGAATAAACATTAACAAAGCATGTATTGTTACAGACTGGTAATATGCTAAATTAAAACTATAACTTGAAACTATTAACCACTAATATGAACAGTATAACGAAGATTACACTCAAATCACAATGAACATATATTCCAGATCTTCATAATATTGGATTTTAATTGATAGTTTCTGAAAATTTTCTTCATGACCTAAATACTTTTAATATATTTAATATTAAAAACATATTTCTTATCAAAAAAAATTTAATTCGTTACTTTTTTAGAAAAAAAAATGTCTTTCATATTACATTTCAAATATATTACTAACAATTATCATTTGAATTCATTGCATTATCATATTAATGAGGCTAAAAAAAATTTTAAATTATCTTAAAAGATGAGTGTTAATATTCTTCACAATTTTTATTTAAGTGAAGATAGAAAAAAACAAATTGTGAAATATAATAAAAAATATAGTTTGTGGCAGGGAAAAAATAAATTGTAAAGCTTAATTCAAAAAATACAGTTCATAGAGAAAAAGAAAAAACTTACAACATTGTTTTGATTTTTTTCTTAACAGGGAAAAAATAAATCCAAAAAATAATCCAGCTTAATCCAAAAAATATAGTTCATGGGGGAAAAGAAGAAACAAATTAATAAAAACTTACAACAGATGATCGTTTTGATTTTTTTCTTGGTGTGATTGGCTTACAATCTTTATCTAATAAAGAACAATCAGAAACTACAGATACAGAATCATCTGAACTCTCCACAGAAGCACAAGAAAATAAACTTCCTTCTTCATCTGAAGAATCTATTTGGATAACACTACATGATTTTTTCTTTATACAATTTGAAGATGTCTTAAGTTTTCCATTATCTTCATCGGAGCTGGGAATGGAAAAACATTTATACCAACATCATAGAAATGTGAAAGAAATGCACAAAGTTTACTTTAAAAAGTAAGTGAAATTAAGTAAATTGTTACATTTAATTTCAAGAAATTTTAAAATAAATCATTGCAAAAGACTAAACACATAATATATGAATTTTCCATAAAATTCATAAACCTAATTCTGAAGTGCTATTTTTTACAGAAGGTTACCAAGTTTTTGAATTAAATAATGAGAGAAAATATTTGATATCAAGAAATAAAAAAATAGTCAACAAGTTTTTAAAATATTCAAAGCATGTTTTTAATAAAAGTTCTTAATGTAACTTTGAACATTACATACACATAATTCCCGTACAGGTGTAAAAATTATGTTTGTATGGTTTTTTTTAACAAAAATAAATATGCATAACAGTATGAATCAATCAAATATCAAGAAAAATCTTTAAAATGTATTCAGCATAACAAAAATAAAACTGCAATAAAAATGTTAAACTTTTTCTTCCTAAATCACTAAATGGAAAAAAAAATCGCTTAAATTTATAATCTGCATATAAAATATATTAAAATCCATAAATCTGAATATGAAATATAGTAAACTTATTAAACATAAAAATCAGCTTCTAGAAATTTAAGAACAAGGGCAGCACACAGCATAGAAATTCGTCAAAATTACACAAACTTTAAAAGCAATTTGTCAGGAACAACCTAATTCCCATCTCTCTAAAATAAGCATGAAAATCACTTATTTATTAATTACTTAAAATTCTCCAATAGATGAAACTGATCATGATTCAGCAGTTATATGTGTGCCCATTTTATTCAGAGAGAATAAATGAGATTCGAATCTCGGAAAATGTAATTTTTTACTTATTTTATTTTGTAAGGAAGCTTAATATTACATAATATATTTTAAGCAGTTTATTTGTGAGCACTTCATGTAATATTGTTTTAATGGCAAATTATAAACATTCCGGTTACTATTGTAAATTTCAAAATCTCTTGATTAAATATGCAGGTTTTTATTTATTTATTTATTTATTTATTTATTATTATTATTATTATTATTTTCTACTGAGACTACATACAGCCATCTGCAGTTCGATCTAACAGCTAAAATGTTACCAAATTTGGTATGGGTGTTAATGATAATATGGGGGAAAAATTCCATGAAAAAACAAAAGTGGACAATACAGGAAAACATAGCACTAGTCAAATGAAAATTTGCAGGTAAAATTTGCAAATGCAAATGCTCGGTTATATAAACAATACAGCAATTCAGTCTATAAAGATACAAGAAAAGCACCAAAGCACATCCCAAATATTAGCATCTGACTTTATTTCAACACAAGTTGCTTGTGAAGTCGTTTTATCTTCATCAATCAAACTTAACGACTCCTCTTCATGAGTTTAGAAGTCGTATCAACTTATCTAAAGGTTCTCTATCAATTAATGTATTGAAAGGCATGATTCAAAAGTTTGAAAAACAGAATCTTTATCAGTTTGGTTTGGTAGAAGGCAGAAATTGGTGTCAGAACAGACAGTTACAAATGTCAGAGCTGCAACTGTTGATGGCACTCATGAGATCACTGCTAGTAGTAGCAGTGCCCAGAGAACTGCTCAACAACTGTATGGAAAATCTTGTAGAAAGTTCTTCACTTCTATCTCTACAAGATAAGCTGCATGCAGGAATTGCAACTATTATGATAAACAGCACTCAGACATTTGGTAGAACATTTCTTGCCAGGATGACGATCAACAATGCTTCACTGTAGAGAATTCTGTGGGAAGACGCAGCCTATTTTCAACAAAATGGGACTGTTAGCACTAACAGTTCTTTAATTTGGACATCCCAACAATTCCATGCAGTTCATGAAATCCCACTGCATTTACAAAAAGTCACTTCTTAGGTCTGGCTTCATAGTAGATTTCATCAGTCATTTTTGAGAACAGGACCACACACCCGTACCATTAATCATGCAAAAGTATCATGATATGCTGACTAGTTTTATCATTCCACAATTTCAGTAGAAGCAGTTATTGTATTAGGTAACTTTTAAGTAAGATGGAGCCAGTACTGGTGCCAAAGCATACACAACTGGTGTGGCTACACCTGGCAGCAGAATTTAGGGACGGCAAAATTTTTAGTCAGATTTTGCACTGATCGGCAAAAAGTCTAACACTGACCCTGGATGCAGCAGCACTGCATGATGATCTATTGGTACTGCAGCTGTTATGTCATCACTTTGAATCAAAAGTTTAATCAAAGAAGAAGTTAAACAACTTTAATCAAAAGTTGCTTTTTTCCACTTGCCCTTCTCTCCTTGGTTCTAAGCCCATGTGATTTTTCCATGTGGGGTTATTTTAAGTTCAAGGGCTATCTCGGTAGGGTCCTGACTTTGACGACCTTAAAGAACAATATATCACAGGCTGAGCATTCCTAGTGACATGTTATGTTATTATATAGCCATTGAGAATGCTGTGTATAGGATGCAATGTAGAACCAGGTGGTCACATTGTAAGAAATCTATGCTCTCGCTGAGAAGGCACTTTTATTGAAAAATGTGCTATGGTACACTGAAATATCATCTCTGTAATCCTTTGGGGCAATTCATTTGCTGTATTAAAGTGGTGTTGCACTCAAATTTATTCTTTGCTACTTATTTGTTTCTTTCTCGGCTGCAGAGAGTAAAACCGTGTTACCTTTCTCCCACTAGCAACTTTTGGAACTTTCTTTTTTTTCGTGCAGAATCTTTTTTCCCATGACTTCAATAGTCCCCCTACCAAATTTGATGGCATTCCAGATGATAGATTGAGCAACAGATGGCTCTGAGTAGTGTCAGTCTGAAAACAAACATCATGTTTTAATGATAGGTTTATAAAAATATTAAATGGCTGTTTTAAGACATTTAATATTTTTATAAGTTAAATAATCTGAAAATCCAATCAATCAAACAAACATACACAATTTTCAAATTATTGCCAATATCAATTATGAATGTGAATAATTTTACCAACATAGACCCAAAACCCTGGTTCCTGTTCCTCACTTAATTTTCTAATTTATTGCATTTACCATTATCTAATTAACCTGAAAGTTTTTATTTATTCTCCAAATTCTTATTTGGTTTATCTTCATTCCTCTTAGCAAATCCCCTTCATTCAACTTCCCTCTCTAAATTCACATAGCTCTGAAATTAGATTCTTCCCTGTGTCGCAATCTTTTATGAATTTTAAACATTTTTCCTGCTAATTGAGGTTACCCAGATAATTCCCTTTGCCAGCTCACTAACAGTCAACTACTGTTACCACTTTGTGGGCAGCACATTTATCGAAGCGCCGTTTCGCTGCCACCGGTTAACACAGGTTCTACTGCTCGCCAACGGTGATATTTACACAATTTTTCAAAACATAAGTAGTTGGTATATAATTACTATTAAAGAAAGCACTAAAATAACTGTTACACTATTTTTATTCCATTTTATTCCAATTATATTTTTTAATTAGTACTAAAACGTTTTATTTAAAAAATTTAACTCCTAGGATCCATAGTTCTTTTTAGTATGATAATTCTGAAAACATTTTCCAACATGCAGAGAAACGTTGCAGGAAGAACACATGTATGCAGTGGAACTTTTCTTGGCAGCAGTGCAGACTTATATATACTCAGTGCAGACTTTACAGACCCTTATTTATACTCAGGCCCATTGCAGGTTTTGAATTCTCCCATTACCACTAATATGCATGTTATTCTATGTTTTCTCATGTCCGTAGTAAGTCTGCCTGGTGGATCAAACCTCGGCGATCTTTTATCACATTGAGCAGCCAATCTTGATTGTTGCTCCTCTTCATTCCCATTAATCCATGCTAGTGCAAGGTTTAGTAAAAATTGTTTGAATCTAATAGGATTTTCAGAATTTTTTATGTATATCTGGATCGCGTTGAGTAATGCACAGTTTATGAGATATAAAACCCCTTTTTTTTTTTTTTTTTCCCATTTTTTTGTTTTGCGAAGTATGGAATAACACAATAGGTATTGATCGGCATGATCAACACCTTTCATAAATTTACTATACTCTTGTATGCAAATTGGTTTAATGCCCTTCTTTTTGGTTCTTTTACTCACACATTTGACCATGTCTGCTGAATGTATCATAGAAATCATCATTATCAATTTTATGGACGAATTCCATTTTTGTACCATAATTTTCCCTTTTCTACGAAATTCCATTGACTTATTTTTCAATGTAGCAGAATTTAAACAATACGGCACTCCTCTGTTTACTCTAATTGTGTCACAGATGTTTGTTTTATGCTTTAGTAACTCCTCTGCAACCTTTACACTACTTTAATAGTTGTCCATATTTACATCGTGCCATAAATTTAAATATGGCGATAGCATGGACAATATTGTTACAATTAGCAATTTTCCTTGCGAGCAATATATTTCTAAATTGCATATATAACCAGATGTCGCCTCACAGACCATATGGACTAAAATTCCATATTTTATAATTTTCGCAGGATTATATGTATGAAAAGATAGCCTGCCTCTCCATGGAATGATACCTTCATCCAGCAATAATTCTTTCTCGGGCTTATAAATGTTTTGAAACTTTTTTACCAGGTCCGAGTATACTAGTTTTATTTTATCAAGCCTTTCTTGGCAATACTCATTATTACTGAAGTGCCAATACTTCCATAACTGCCGAAATCGGTTCCTTGGCTTAGTATTCCCCAAAATAGGTGTATGTAATCCAGGGTGAGTAGACCAATAATCGTCTTGTTCTGGTTTTCTTACTATTCCCATTAGGATAACAAGCCCCAAAAGTTTTTTTCCTTTCTACAACATTTGTATCAATCCAAGCTTTATTCTTTGTTGATGCATTGTTGTTATCATTATTCTGCTGGTTATGATATAAGTTTGTTTGTGTGGCAAACAAATTAAATAAATCGGTACCAATGAACAATTCCACAGTTGATAATATATCTGGTGTGT